AGGTAATTAAGACCCGACATTCATGAAGACGAGATGAGAAACAAATTCCTGGCTGGGCCGCTGTCATATCTCGAACACATGGCCAAGTCTAGGGTCTACGAATCAACCACGTGGAAGCAAGAGCCATGGCGCGATATCCGTCCAGACCAGACCCAGGCGAACCTTTCTTCGTCCGCAAAGGGTATCCAGCCCGCGGTCGCCTGAGAAAGCTTGATGCTTCATTGGTGCGGGGGCACGGACGGACAGGGCCCCTGGGCTGCTCGGTCTGCGACACGCAGAATAGAATCGGACGAAGATAGGACGCCATGCCGATACAAATGGAGAGCGTCTTCCGTCCCGAGAACTCGGGCGGTTTTTCTTCCTTTCATCCATTCTTGCTGCCCGTTCGTTTTGCGTGATTCTAGCGACGGCCGACACGATGTGCGACGACGACCCTCCTAGGCCAAGGCCTTCCGACAGCAGTGACAGTGTGATTCCAGTGGTGCGGTCCCCTATCCGTCTGTGGCATTGTCAGGGGTTGAGATGGATTCGGAGGTTTACTGACTCGCGCGACTCGCGCACCTGCAGGATCCGGCCGTTGAAGCTGGCACGGACGATGATATCGCCAGGTAAAAAACGAATCTCCACATGCAATGTTGCGCATGAATTTGAGGTGCTAAGGCGGGTTTGGTTGCAGTATCTATCCGCAGTCAACGGTGTCATTGACTGAGAGTATCATGCAATATCGTGAGATACATGGACGAACGTATACCCAAAGATCAGAATATTGGGGCCCGAACGATGAAAGACAGAGTGAAGCTCTCGACTTCAAGTAAGTCGTGTTCGAATGACAGGATTTTTGAAAGTTGTGGCTCAACATCAGGTGGTCATTTGCTAACTATACATCCCAGCCACTTCTGGATTACGGACTTTTTCGAGGGCAGATTATTCCATGCTCCTATTGATGACCATCCTCAGGTATGATTCCTCTTCTTGGGCAAAAGATTGCTTACAAGCCAGGCTGACAAGTGCTATAGAGAATCCTCGACATGGGTACTGGTACAGGTATATGGGCCATGTGAATAACCTCAACCTCTGGACCCACACTGCATACTGACATGAACCAGAGACATGGCCGATCAATATCCCTCCGCCGAGGTTACTGGAGTCGATCTGTCACCCATCCAACCCACTTGGGTACCGCCTAACCTGAAGTTTCAAATCGACGACTTTAACCAAGAATGGACATGGCCGAAAGATCACTTTGACTACATCCACGGACGCAACCTTGAAGCTTGCTTCACCGACCTGCCGACGACAATGAAGGAGGCGTACAACCACACTAAACCGGGCGGGTATATTGAGTTCCTGGAGTTCGAATCACAAGCCCGATCACAAGTCGCGGAACTGCCAGAAGATCACATCTACAGGACTTGTTATACGGCATTGATCACTGCTGCGAATAAGCTCGGAAAACCGGGTGAGAACGTCCGGACGGGTGCGCTTCAGAGGGCGCTAGAGCAGGCTGGCTACGTTGATTTCGTGCATCACAGGTGGAAGATTCCGATTGGCGGCTGGTGTGCCGATCCAAAGCTTAAACAACTGGGCTGGACCATTCTCGACTTCTTGAGCGACTCATTGGAGGGATTCGGGCTCTACTTGCTGAAGGAAGTTGCCGGCTTCAGTTACGAGAAGTGCCAGGTCATGTTTAGCGAATACAGAGCTGCGATGCGAGATCCGAGGTTGCAGTCATTTTACTACATGTAAGTGTCATTCACAACGAGACGATAACTTGGTTTTGTCGTCATGCTAACCGGCATCAAGGCACGTCATCTATGCTCGCAAACCGGAAGTCTCAAAAGAGAGAAAGGCAGCGATCGCCAAGGAATCTCAATCTCATGACACAACAACGGCGGTATGAAGGGCCTGAGACTTTATGATAGGATCATCCAAGACTTTGCTCCACGCATACCATGTTTCACGATACACGAGATGAACATGTCATTAATAAACTGAGCAACATTCCAAATCCCCTCGTACACGGCAGACGCTGTGCGATCACTTTCACCTGACCTCGTCTGCTTCTTGTATTCTTTCAATTGATTCTGGATCATAGTCAGCAATATTTATGAAATTCATTATTGGTGCCCCATCCTGGCGGAGGCGGCCTTCGGGGCCGATCCCCTAACCTTTGCTATCGAACCACTTCCGAGATTGATGGAAAGTAGGCGCTCTGATTGGACAAAAACGTGGACTGGCGAATAACCCCTGCGAATGCATCTGCGTTCTGCAGAAGTCCCGCGCAGGAATGAACAACACGAGAGAAGACACGACACCAGATACCAGGGTAAGAAAATGCAGACCCATACGCCAAGTGTTCTGGTCATCCACTGTCATTTTCGGTTTAGGACTCTTTGGAGATGCAGCTACTCCATCAAAGAAACAGGTGCCATACTCAACACTAACTACGTAGTATTACCGACGTATCTCCTCCCTACAGGCAAGTTGCAAAGAACAACCAGTTCAGTTTTCACCAGGTCCTGCGATATCCGCAACATCCGCATTTCCTTTTCAACGCTTTGCCGATTGGTACAACACAGACAATGTAGATTTAGGGCAGCTTCAGTCTAGATTGCCACACTTCACGACCAAAGCACCCTGGTTCACCACGCGCTCAGCGCCTGTGGCCACCCAGAATGCGCCGGTATGAATGTGGCATCGATTCCGTGGTTAATTGAAGTGCTGTGGATTCTGATTGGATCGGGGAGACGGCCCAAAAAGTCGCTTCCACCCTGGCTTGCAGATTGCGCATGTGCACGATGCATTTACTTCTTCAAGAATTGAACCAACAGGTTCCAACACGAAACGGGGACTACAAAAGAGGGGTCACACCCCTCACATATTTTGTCGTTATGCTCTCCCTGTTCGAAAACTCTTGAGAATACTCTGTTCAACATTCATTATTACCTCGTCCTGCGACTTCCCTCAAAATGAGTACCACTGCACCTGTTGCGGCCCCGATTACCGTCGTATGTGTTGGGAATCGTCTGGTAAAAGTTGCCACTGACAAGCCTTGGCGACATGCAGGATCCTGGTCTAGAATCTGAGGTCGAAGACGACCAAAGTGACCGGAACAGGTATGCTTTGCCGGCGCCCCCTCCGCAAGCATTTGGTATGAACTAATGCTGAACCTTGACGTACAGCACGTATAGTTCATCCACGGCGTCCCTCACCGAGAGCATCAAGGAATACCGCGAAATTCATGGTCGTACGTACACACAGAAAACCGAGTACTGGGGACCCAACGACGAAAAGCATAATGATGCTCTTGACTTCAAGTGAGTCTTCCCGATGGAACTTTGCGCAGGAGGTCCACATCAGTGGCTTCGAAAGCATCGATTAATGTCATTCTAATACTCAACAGCCACTATTGGATGACCGACTTTTTTGATGGCAGGCTGGCATTGGCGCCGATTGGAGACAGCCCCCAGGTAGAGGCAAAGCCCTGACTTACTGCAGGAGTGCGGTTACTCACACATTTTCAGAGGGTTCTTGACCTTGGTACTGGCACGGGTATCTGGGCCATGTAAGCCACCATATCTCCTGCTTCATACTCGGTCTATTTGCTTACACGTCGCTGGAAGGGAATTCGCCGACGAGTACCCTTCAGCCGAGGTCGTCGGCACCGACCTATCGCCGACTCAGCCTACGTGGGTTCCTCCTAATGTCAAGTTTCTCATAGATGACTTTGAGGAAAAATGGACCGGCTGGCCCAAAGATCACTTCGACTACATCCATGCTCGGAATCTAGAGGCTTGTTTCAAGGATGTGCCGAAGTTCTGCAAAGAAGCATTTCATTACACGAAACCTGGAGGATGGTTCGAGATCATCGAATTCGATACGAAGGGTCGCTCTCAAAATACCGATTTGGACGAAAACCACATTTTCAACAAGTGGCATGCGTGGACTTGCGAGGGCCAAGCCAAAATGGGCAAGCCTTCGGGTAATGTGTCCTCAGGGAAGTTCAAGCAGGGGCTTCTCGATGCTGGGTACACCGAGCTTGTCGAGAAGAAGTGGAAGATCCCGATCGGTTCCTGGCCAGCGAGGCCAGATCTCAAGAGACTTGGTCAGTGTAACCTAGAGTTCATGGAGATGTCTCTGGAGGGTTTTATGCTCTATCTCCTCAGAGAGGCTCTAGGTTTCAGCTACGCTGAGGCTCAGGTTACGATCACTGAGGTGAGGGCGGCTTTCAGGAACTCGAAGATCCAGCCATTCTACTACATGTGAGTCATTGGAAGAGAGAAGAAAGAATCTTTCGGAATGCTAAGACAAACTCAGGGACGCTATATACGCACGCAAACCTCTGGAAACTGAGAACACGGAGGCTTAAGACACAAATTGCAAATGTCTGGACAAGTTTGGTGATGCGAGCGTGTGCGAACACCTGGGATGGCGCGGGGCACAGCTGTAGCATTCCTCTTGCATTTCATGAATCTCAATCGTCCATAGAATCCATAGCACAGTTTTTCAATGATTAAGATTGTCGATATTATCTTTCCCCCCACCTCAGCCTATTCTATCTTATGCAGATTGTGCTCTATCGTCGCGCCAGAACCTGTCGCACGATGTAAAGAATGCCTACAAAACAATCTTTCGCAACTCCTGGTTCTGGCGCAACACTGATGAATTGTCTACTTCAATTCCACTCTGATGCAGAAGATGAATGGTATTTAGCTTCCGACTCCTTCCACATTCGCTACACAACTTCACTACAAACACACCTATTTCCAGATGACACCACGGACGCGCCAGTTGCACAATTGACTTGCGACAACCTTTCAGTTACTTTTTAATGGCGAGTGGCGATGCCAGAAGTTTCAAAAAGGCGATTTGACCTGTCGCGGCTGTTCAATCGCGCGTGGCGTCTGGAGGTATCTAAGGCCCCCAAGCGACTCAACACCACAACCAAGCACCACGACAATAAAAAGAAACATTGCGAGAGCTCCAAAAGACAAAAGAAATGACCCCAACCCGATTTGAACGGATAACCTTTCGATATCATATCAGAAGCTGTCGCAGGACAGAATCTGGAGTCGAACGCGCTACCGTTGCGCCATAGGGCCTCTTGTTGATGTTCGACTCCGCCCGAGACTAGCTTATGTTGTGGGCAGGCACTAGAGCTTGCCTCGCAGACCCACTTGCTCGAAAAAACCTCATGCTGCAAGCTCCACATCGTGCAGACAACATGGATGCTGCTTGTACATCTTGGGGTCTGGTCATTAAAGATGGGCAGTTGTCACGGGGCAAGACTTTGATTAGGAAATGTCCGATGTGAAAAGGCCCAAACAAAAGTCTATTAGACACTTTCAATCTCAGTTTAGACGGGCGAAACATAGGACAGAGTCCGAGCAACAAACTCCTCTATCCTTGAAGACCCAACATGACTCAATCAACAACTTGCTCAAACTCCTCTAGACGTAGGTAATCTTCGAGCGCTTAACGCATTTGCACTCTATCTGGCGAATGTAGGGGACGGCATTCTCGATTAACATCTTGTCTACCTCCTCTTCGGGGAAGCAAGAGCACTCAGGGTCGCACTCAGAGCAGAATCTGCGGAAGGTGTGGTAGTGAATCTGGGTCTGGTCGGGGCAGCCGGGATTGGATTCGCGATAGAGGTCGCAAGGCTTTTCGTCAGATCCAGTGACGCGATTGATGTCCTTGGCGCACGAGTTACAGGCGATAAAAGCGTATTTATAGGTGCACATTTTGAGTGAGGGTGCTGTTGCTGCGCTTGCCTGATATGGTATCAATGGTTCTTGCGAAATTGAGTGAGTAAGGTGTGGTGTTTCAGAAGTAGAACGTCGAGAACTTGATCCAAATCAACTCGGGCCCAAGTACTTATACCTCAGGATAATGGCTATTGAACAATGCATACGGTCATGATCATCGAGGGAGAGCGAACGCAAAGAGTTACACAAGCTGTTTTCGGAAAATAAATAGCACTTGGGAACAAAACACATGTCATTCATCAAGTTGAATAAAGACTTTTGATTGAGGGTCATCCATTCGCGTCTAAAAGCTATGTGCAGCTAGAAAGGAAAAAGAGTATGTACAAAACTCATGTGGTATCATAGTAGGTCGTGCGAACTTCCTGGATAAACCCTCCCTCGCGACATTGTGCTACCTGGCACGTTTAAGAGTACCAGTTGTTGGGGGTCCACTTGACGTAGCTGGCGTCAATCTTCTTGAGGTCGGGAACACCGAGGTTGGCGGCGTCGATGGCGAGCTCGTGCTTGATCATCTGGATGGCCTTGGTGACACCCTCCTCACCGAAGACGTTGGCGAACATGAAGGGACGGCCCATACCGACGGCCTTGACACCGAGGGCGAGGAGCTTGAGGGCGTCGGCGCCGTAGCGGACACCACCGTCGGCGTAGATCTCAATCTTCTTGAAGATCTCAGGGTCCTTCTCGTAGATCTCGATGGCGACCTCGAGGGAAGAGGGGGAGCCGTCAAGCTGGCGACCACCGTGGTTGGAGAGGATGATGGCGGGGACGTTGTTCTCGATAGCGGCCTCGGCGTCCTCGACGCTCATGATTCCCTTGATGATGAAGGGGAGCTTGGTCATGTTGGCCAGGCGGTGGTACTCGGGCCAGGTGATGAGGGAGTACTCAGAGTCGGCGGAGCCGACACCGAAGCGGGCGGCGCGGTGACGGTTGCCATCGGCGGCAGAGTCGACGGTGTAGACGACACCGTTGGCGCCGGAGGCCTCGATCTGCTTGAAGAGAGCCTGGGTCTCGGTGTCGTTGGCAGTCAGGTAGATCTGCTGGAAGGCGACCTGACCCTCCTTCTTGACGGCGGCGATCTCCTCGATGGTCTTGGAGGCGTACAGAGAAGGCATGTACAGGATGTTCTCGTTGCCAGCGGCCTTCATCAGGTTCAGCTCAGCATCCTCGTGGGCGTAGCCGGCACGGGCGCAGGGGCTGATGAAGATGGGGGCAGAGAAGTTGTGGCCCAGGATGGTGGTGCTACACGAGTCAGCATGAGAGTCTTTTGACACGATGATATGCGCAACCGGGGAAACGGTTCGTCTGATGACTGCGCGAGGGAGCCTGGACTTACCTCAGGGTCTGCTCAATGTTGGTGATGTCGACCATGACACGGGGGCGGAGGCGGTAGCGGTTGTAGACCTCCAGGTTGTTGCGGTAGGACCACTCGCCGGCGGCACCGTTGCGGTAGTAGGTGTAGTTGCGGAGGGGGAGGTAGTTGCGGGCAGCAAACTCGAAGTCGGGGAGGCCGACCATGTTGGTGAGGTTGGGCAGGCTGCCGACCTGGAGGTCAGGCAGGACGCCATCGATACCGGTATCCGGCTCGTTCAGGAACGGGCGGGCGGCGATGGCGCCGGTCGCCAGGGCGGAGGTGATGAGAGCAGCGCGCATATTGTCCAATAATGAGTGAATGGTGGTGAGTGGTGACAGTCAAGCACGGATGCGATGGGGAAGATCTTTTTCTGATCAGCAAGAATACGCGGCCCTGCGAGGCTATTTATCATTCCGCCGCGATGCCACGACGTCGAGCTGTCAACCCCCCTCCCCTTACTATAAACCTCACCTTCTTGGCATCCCTCCGAGGCTTCTGGATCAAGTCCGCATTCGGGCATCGGAGCGGGCCAGACGCTTCGCCCAAGTGACCAGCTCCATGACGTGCGCCATGGGTGTAGTGTTGTTGAGCGGTGCATTCATGGGCCCGGGTGCCCCGTCCAATGTTGGGATGAAAGTGACTTCCTTCCCGTCGCATGAAGGCCCGATGGGAGAAGCTGTCTGCATCCAGGGAAGCATGTCTTGGCAAAACGGGCGCGGTCTTGATTTTTTTTCGGACATGTCGGGGTTGGGTGACACTCGGTAGTCCCAGCGAAGCTGGACGGGGCGGGTCGCTTGATAGACCTAATGCGGAAGCTTGAGTGGCTTGTCACGAGAGAGTGACGGAGGGATTACAACGGTGGTTTGAACTCAGATAGACGATGTCGACCCGCTGCCAAGTGTGACGGTGCAAAAGCGACCTCCTGATCCGGGGAGAAGACCGTTATCAGATCTTGGACGGTGGGCCAGCAAATACCGTCCGCGATCCATGGGCGCACAACTGACGTATCAAGTTGATGGACGACAGACGGGATGGAGCCAGTTTCACGTTTTTTACAGTGTGTTCCTGGAGTCTTCTACAAGCGAGCCCCCCTGGCAGTTGGATACAGGGATGGGACGGGAAACTGACTCGCCCTGGCAGGAGACATGCTAGCGCTATAACTCGCCTGTGTAATAGCTGAATAATAAGTCAGCCAAGTAATGAGCCAAGTCGTCGCAGTGGGTGATGGCTGCGACCTGATGACAGTTCAGGGCTACGCGAGGGAAGAAATGGGGTCCGCCGTGTGGGCAAGCGCGCGGGTGGTGACAGTGTTGGTTGTGACGCTGCGCCTGGCGAGGGAGCCCGTCCCGGAAGTCTGGATGAGTTTGTTGGCCCGGTCCTTGAAGAATCCCACGTCACGGACAAACTGCTGCTCCCGATTGAAGACGATCTTGGCCTCGGAGGCTCGGTCGAGTTCCGACGTGGTGAAGAAGAGTCGAGGCAAGTGTATCCTAACTTTCCATCGTTTACTGTGCGGTGAAGCAAGCAACCCACGTGTCTGTCACTGCGTGGCCAATGTCCCGATTCCCCAGTGCATAGACTTGGCCGTGTACTAGTGCAGTTCATCCCTTTTCCTATTCCCCTAATCGTTTGTTTTTTTGTTTGTTGTTGAGTGAAAATCATGCTTGAATCGTCCGGTGTCTGAGAAACACTTCTACATTTTCTTCTTCTTCAAAAACAGGGATAAACCTCCCTCGGTTCGCGCAAGAGGTAGGTCACATTTCCGGGTGTTCATTACAATGCTACCTACCAAATCCGTGATGACGTTATTTGAAAGCGAGATTTGGCTCGACAACTCCATCCAGTTTTTCCCCCTTCAATTGGGGCATTTCCGAAATCAAAAAGAGTAACTGTGAAAGAAAAAAAAATCACTCGCATCCTATTCAACAACATCCCGCTTTTTCTATCGCGAAAACTCCCGACGTCGAACATGGGGTTGCCTAGAAGGTATTGCCAGTCGGACCTATCGCGGACGAGGCCGCGGTCGCCGCGATGTCTTTCAAAGCCACCCGGATCTAATGTGCTCCCGGTGGGTGGTGGTGGCGACCGGGACGCGACAGAACATCGTGGCGGAGCCTCAAATGTGAAGACAAGCATTTTTCACAAGAGAAAGATTCGCAATCCACGGGAGGCGGTGTCAGTTGCCAAGTAGTCTTGTCTTCCGTGAGAGCCGCCCGTTGTGACGCTGTCACGTTGAGGCCAAGTTTTTCCGTTTTTTCTTCTCTAAACGATAACGAGGGTTTTGACTCGTCTTACAAATCCGGAGGGCAACGATCAGCGTAAAATCAACTGATAGACCTAGGCGGTCTACTATCTGGTCATTGCTAATGTTGCGCTCTCTACAGCGTGCTCTGTAGACACTTTATTACTGAGTTGGCGAGTCATCGGTAGTAGACTGCACAGGAGCTTCCAAATTTGTCTTCAGAGCCGCTTCTTGCTCGTGTAACTCGCTTCTCTCCCTGGTTGAACACCATGTTCCATCTTGTTTTTGCAAGACACTTGCAGCCGGGAATTATTTGTCAATCACCATCAACGCCCTACGCATATTGGAAAGGAGAAATGCGACATACTACACCATCCATGCATATACATAGAGCTCAACCCGGGCAGCCAGCCACGGAGCGCAGAGTTTTTCTGGAAGGTGGGAGCGCGTCGGGATCACCAAGTCCAATCGCTTCCATCGCAGATCCATTCGCGCAGGCCTGCGATCGACTCCAATGGCTCGGATAGAGCTTGCCCGCCCCAGAGCTCACAGCAGCTCCATGTCTATAGTTGCATTTAAGCTACACGGCCTCCCCTTCGATGCAACGAGTATCGGTTCAACTCTGATTCTATTCACAGCTCCGAGCTACCGGGCAGCCGAGAGATAACACCTAGCGAGCCGAGTCGATCTCGGTCGACGGCCGATCGTCCGAAGCCTCGAAAGCATCCTTCCGGGCCACCA